CTACTACTCTTTAGAAAATAGGTTTACAGAAAATCTAAAAACGTGATCTTAAAGAGCTTGTTCTGTTCTACTATCCTAAGGTTTTATTTTATATTTATCATTTTTTTTGAATAAGGATTAGCAATTTGAATGTCAATTTTATTTGTTGGGACTAAGCTAAGTTGTACGCACTGTAGTATATTTAATTAATAATATTGTATTATTTACAAACCGTATTCTGTTTGAAGGGTTAATAATTAATTACGTTAAATGAAGAATCGAAGCTACGACATTGACAGGGAAAAGAATCAATTGAAGACTTATTATATATCATTCACCGCATGAAGCCGTAAAATATCGATATCAGCATTTTTTTTTTCTTTTTATATCTCTCAAATGAGTATTTTAATCTTTTATTACACGGACAAATCTTATGTCAAGATTTTTCGAAATTAAAAATTGTGTATTGTTTAATACATTTTGCTCGGAAAAATAATAATTTTAATTTTCAAAGTAACCGAAGATCAAAAAATCTTAAAATCTGTACCACTTATCGGAAAAACGTTAAATTTATTTTGGTTTTAACAAGATGGATTAAAAATGGAAAGAGGCACATTAACCTATTGAGATAATGCACAAGAATAATATCATTAAGATAAATTTTTTTTTTCTTTTTTCAAATTTTATCATATAAATAAATTAAATGATGTATAGATTTTTTTAAAAAAAAAAATAAAAAATAAAAATAAAAATGAAAAATGAAAGATGAAAAAAACGAATATTGCTATTTTATGTATGCAAAAAAAATTAATGGTTTATTATGAAATTAAATTTGAAATATAAAAAAAAATTACAAGAAATTCTCAAGTGTCGTGTTAATATAAATTATTAAAGTAAGCGACATAATCTTGTCGATAATAGGCATTTGCCTTTCTCATGATTTCATTGGTTTCTTTTTGCTTTTTACTCATCCACTCCTTTTTCTGCTTATTGGTTTTTAATGATAAATATTCTTTTTTAGCAAACTTAATATCAGAAATCCAATACGCACGCAATTTTTCACTTGACCATGTCATGAAATTCGTGTACGGTATGCAATAAAGTAACCCTTGTGGTAAATAATTTGGAAACGCTCTATCTCTAGTTACATTCAAAAAAAAACCATTCAAAAGGTATTATTAAATAATTTGTTTAAACATGAGAAACACGAGAGAAATAAAAACTAATTTCTTACCTTATTAATAAAGTTTTCTCAGAAAAACATTTGCTACACAAGACTTCCCTTTTAATCCAAACATTGTAACCAAATCTATTATAACTATTATTACAAAATTGACATTTCTTGGCCAATAAAGCCAACCAAATATATTGTTGTTCAATCATATTTGATGGAGGGGGAAGGGAAGGGTAAGTTAAATTGTTCATTCTAGATGATTTCCATATCTCTTGTATTGCTTTCTTATCTGACCATAATAATTTACGAAGTTTTTTACATAAGGAACATAACGAATATAAATCTTGCGGTGTCAGATATTTGAAGATTTGTGAGTAAATTATCAAAGGAAAAATTAAAAATTTTGACTGAGGAAGTATGGGAACAAGTCTAATGATAGGTTGTTTTATTCCAGTTTTTTTAGTAGATTTTACTATTGATACGGATATGGATGATGACATTATATAGAGTAATTTTTTATTTTCTTCTCTTTAAAAAAATTAATATATTATTTTTTTTTTTTTTTAAAAAAAGGGAAAAAAAATAATTTTTTTTTTTTATTATTTATTCTATTGTGAAAAAATCAGTTAATACGGCGCTTAAATATTATATTATATTTATATTTTGTACAAAGGATTGACATGACCATTATATTAAAAATGCATGAATCATTTGCATCTGCATCTGAAATGCGAAATTATCTGCACATTTGCATATGATTCGCCAACAGAAGAATTATTCCATATATGGGTTTATAGTTTATTAAATTAGCACATAATGGTCAATGACAAAATTTTTTGTAATATAAAAACAATAGCAATAGGAGATTTTTTTTTTAATCAACCTTATTTTTTTATATATATTTTTTATTATTATTTTATTTTATTTTTCTTAAAGGAAAAATGGATCGTTTAATTCCCGAGATACTTGAGAAAATATTTAAGTATATTTATGATCCAAATGAAGACCGTTTTTATACGGAAGATCGAACTTGCCTTCATTCGTGTTTATTAGTAAACAGATATTGGTGTAAAGTATCTGTTCCAATCCTTTGGAAATGGGTATTAAATGATTACGGAAATATATACGAACGACAAGCCAAAGTTTACACGCTTCTCAAGTGTTGCGATGAGAATTCTCGTCTTAATTTGATTGACAACGGCATAGATCTTCCCTTCTCCATTATGGAAGTTCCGATCTTTCAATACGCTTCGTTCATTGAGATTTTGGATTACGGTAAATTAGTCAATTCGATTAGCGAGTGGTTAGAAACATTACCACAATTACCCGCGGAAAGTTTAACCTTGGTTCTAAGAGCAACGTTGAAATTGTTCGTTAAAGAATCTAAAATAACCAGTTTTCAAGCCTGGCCTTTGAGATTTCCCACCGATTTGATTCATTTAATATTGGTTGAAAAGGGGATTGAAAATTTATTTTTAAATGTTAGAAACTTACTCATCAACACTCATGTTAGGTGTGATAGATGGTTATCGGCTCCAGTAAAGGTTTGCAGAAAAATTGTAAGTAACGAGACCCATCTACGAAGAAGTTTTTTTTCTTTGTTGCAAAAAAAAAAAAAAAAAAATATTAAATTATTTTACATGGTGCATATCACGTAGGAAAAGTTGACTATAAGCATACCGGGACAAGCAATTCCATATTTGGGTTCAAAGTCATTCACGGAACCTTCACCTTATTACATGAAGGAATCCTCTCAAATGTCCTCACTCATCCAACATCAGAAATCACTTCAAAAGCTTAAACTCAATGAGGGTTTGGGATTCTCCGTTATAATCAATACGTCATTGCCTTCCGTAAAAGATTCCCTTACGAAACTTTCATTTAAATCCGTGGATTTTGGTGGATGTGATCCATGGTATGGGATATGCACTTTGCATATGTTGGAGGTGTTTAAATGTAAGAATTGTAAAGGGTTGACCGTGAAGATGATAGAACCGCTGGTAAATTGTACTAATGATGAATTTAAGAGGGTCAAAAGGATGGCTTTGGATTGGAATACCGGTAAAGAAGCGCATGAATTGTTGAATGATTGGTGCAAAAAATTGATTGCAACATCAATCACGTGTAACGCGCAGTATTTGGCAGACTAAAATATCTTTGAAATGCAATGCAAATGAATTTATAAGTCTGTGCCTTATGCAGTATCGTGTTTGAGTTTCTGCAATGTCAAAAAATCCTCACGAAAACTTTCTAAAAAAAGGTATTCTGGTGTCAAGCATAAAAGATAACAAAAAAAAAATAAAGAATTTCAGTTTGATGAAAATTATTTAAGGTATTAGGTTCCGTTCCATTCTACCTTTTTTTTTCATCATAAAGATTTTATAATAGATTATGAAAAAAAAATTCACATAATGCGATTATAACTTGTACTACATAATTCTTAAATGCAAAATTAAACATCGTGCGGCTAGATAAACTTTTTTTTTTGGACAATTAAAGGTCGTTTTAATATAAACACGTATGTACATGTATAGAAAAGTTATTTATAAGAAATAAAATGCATGGTTTATCGAACATAAACACGCCAGTTTTCCGTTTTTAATTCGCATCACATGAAACCTTTTCGACATTATTTTTCAGCTTGTTGATAATCTAATCTATATTACTAAACAGAAATAATTAAGAATCTCCTCGTAGTAAATGTCCTTCAAGCCATACGACATTTAATATTCGTAAAGTATAAAAAAATTTGGATTTATGTTATGTAAATGTATTTTGACAGCTCATTTTTGTATTAACCGGTTTTTGCCCAAAAAGAAAAGTGTCCGAGTATCAAAAAAAAAAAGGTTTAGGATCATTTATATATTTAGGATTTTTTTAGTTACATCCACATTTTTTTATATCGATGCACAAAAACTAATATATATGTTGATATTAATTAAAGAATGATCAAATTTGAAAAAAAATTCCCAAAGGAATTATCCATTGAGGAGTAACATGTCAAATTACAAATCCTTATTTCGCCAATATTTGTTAAATTTGCGGTTGGAATACTTTTGTAAAATGGTTTCTTTCAATCACAATTAATTGAAACAAATTTTACTGTAATAAACTTAAACCTTTGACTTATGAAAAGAATATGTAAACAAAGAATTGACATAACAAACATTATCAGTTATTGACATAATTACAACAACTTTTTTTTCTCACCGACACTTTTTGACATTTTTTTCACACGATAGCCATGTCGATCAATTGACAAAATTTTTATTTGGCAAAAGAAAAAAAAACAGGAATAAATGGGTCATTTGCAAAACCGATTTGATTAGTATGAGAAAAAGTTTTATTACTTCACAAAACATAGTTTGGGAACTTTTTTTTTTTCCCTTAAATGAGGAATTCATTTAAAAAAGAATTCATTTTTAAAGAATTCAATCATTTTGCCTAATTCTCTCTCGAGTAATATTAATATGAAATACAAAGATAAAAATATATACATACGTAATGGCATCATTTATCGTGGAGATGAGGCCATCAATGCAAAAGAAGAAGTCGAGGCCAAAAAGCTAGTAGAAGAACTAAAATCTTCACTTGAAAAGATTTCAGATGATATCGTTGATTCGCCTTTTAACGATGATGATTCAAATTCTTCATCTTCCAACAGAGATGATTCAACTTTTGACGGTGGTTGTGGTACATTCGGAGTCATTCAAGAGGTATCAAATAAATATTTAAATTAAATTTATCATTCGTTATTATAACCATTAATTCTCATGAATAGATCAAAGAATTTATTGATGACTCAACTGACGTAACTGACGTATCTGACGTAATAACAACAGTAGAGCAGGGCAAAAATGAAGAAGGGAACTTTGAGGTTAATGCGACGGATAAGAAAGATGAAATAGGAGAATCAAGCATTAAAGAAAATATCAACAAGGTCGCTCGTTTAAATGTGATTGGAGAACACAATAAAGTCAATAACATCAACGTTGCAAAAGACACCAATACGGCCTTGTGCGCAGATTTTACTGGTATTTACAACGAAAGAGGTAACACTACAATAACGGGCAACAACAAGTCGTTTTTATGCTCAAAAATGACTGGGATACACAATGAAATCGGAAATTATACAGAAACGAAGGATAACACGTCGAAATTATGCTCAAACATATCTGGGGTACACAATAGAGAACAGAACACTACAAAAACGGGAAACAACAAGTCAACTCTATGCTCAGACATAACTCTGATTCGCAACGAATTCAAGAACACTACAATAACGGGAGACAACGATTCGACTTTATGTTCAAACATATCTGGGATGCATAACGAAATTCAAAACTCAACTAAATCAGGGGACAGCAAATCTAAATTATGCTCAAATATCACTTTAATGCACAATGAAGTCGGGACCATAAAAAAAACAAAAAACAGCAAGTCGACTTTATGCTCAGAAGTAACTGAGTTACATAACGAAATCGGGAACATTAAAGAATCGGGGGACAGTGAGGCGACCCTATGCTCAAGAGTAACTGGGATGCACAACAAAATTTTGAATTTTACAAGCTCGGGGGACCAAAAATCGAAAGGATGTTCAGATGTAACTCTCGTTAAGAATGAATTTTTAAATTTCGAAAAAAAAGGAAAGCAGTCTAGCAAAGTTACCTTTAGCGGAGCTGGGACTGGTGCTAGTGCTTTAAACGTGCGCGTGAGCGACCCATCATTTGGTTTTGATTTTGGTGTTAGTGGACAAGCTTCTTTTTTAAATGTAGATATTGGAACCCGTTTTCAGCTTGGTTTAGGATTTGGCTTAGGTATCGGGATACCATTCCTCGGTTCTGGAGGAGGCGGTGGAGGTGGTGGAGGTGGTGGAGGTGGGGGTGGTGGGGGTGGTGGTGAAGATGGAGACGGAGATGGAGGCAATTCAGACAACCGAAATAAATGTGGCGATGAAAAAGGTGGTTCTGGAGATGGAACTGAAGGTGGTGGCGATGAGGGAGGTTCCGGAGGTGGTTCAGGAGGAGATTATAATGGATACGATAATGACATTCCTTATGAACGAAACCAAGGTGATGAAACGGACGGTGGAGATCATTTTGGAGAAAATGCCAATGGTAACGATAATAACGGTCCTTATGAACGAAACCAAGGCGGTGAAAGGGGTAGTGGAGGCCATTTTGGAGGGGATTTCAATGGATACGATAATAATAACAGTCCCGATGAACGAAATCAAGGTGGTGGAGGTTATTTTGGAGGGGATTTCAATGGGTACGATAATAGCAGTCCATATGATCGAAACCAAGGTGGCGAAAGGGGCAATGGAGATCATTTTGGAAGGGATTCCAATGTATACGATAATAACAATTCTTATGAACGAATCCAAGGTGGCAGTGGAGGCACTTTTGGAGGTTATAATAATGAATACGATAATACCGATTCTTTTGAACAAGGTAGAGGCGGTTTCAGTGACAATGAAGATCATGATACACGAAATGAAAGCGGATATAATGAACAAAATGAGGGTACTTTAAGTGATGGTTATGATCACTATTTAATTGCATCAAATGGAAGTCGTTCGATTTATAGCAACGGAGGAAGTACTGGAAATCAAGACGCTAATAGTAATAATGTTGGTAATGAACAAAGCAATGTACACTCACTCCCCAATAATTCTCCTTACTCATATGACATCAATCAAAATCCTACGCAAAAGGTACATGGAAGTCAAAATTTTACCGGAACTGGCTCGCATGCAAATAATGTCACAAATAGTACAGTCAGCACAAATAAAACAAGCGGTGGCGTCACGAAAGGAGGGAATAACACAACCAGCACAAAAATAGCAAGCAGTGTTGATAATAATAATAACGAAAATACTGAATCCCCCTTATCTTCTATTTTTGGCAATGAAAATGGAGTTAAAAACTCACAACAAAAACAAACACCATTTCAGCGAGAATTAGAAAATACTTTTCGCCAAAGTCCACGTTTACTCACGGCATTCCGTACCTCACTATCTTCCAATTCTACGTCTGATAGCTCCAACTCATCTTCTAATCAAGCCAATAAGACATCAGATTCCAACTCTAAACCTTCCATTAAAGAGATTGACATTCGCGAACGCATCAAATTGCGCGTTCGTCAAACTGAAGAAGCTGCTAAACGAAAAAAACAATCCCAAGAAGAGGGTTGGAACTCCACCATCAATTCCACTTCTGGTGACTCTAAAAGTTCAATTGCAGATAACCCAACGTCGCAGAAAAAACTAGATGATGAGGATGAAGAAGATTCGGAAGCCCCAAAACCATGCAAAAATCACTCCCCCAGCGTTCGTTGCTTTCGTTGTTTGGTGGGTGCTAAAGGGAAGAAAGTGAAACGAGTCAGTGGGAACGTATATGGATTTTCTAATTAAAAAGAAATTTTAATAATCAAATTTTTTATAATCTTATCTTAACAAAATAGTATTATGAAATATATGTAATACAAAATTAAAATTTTCATAATAAAGTTTTTTGAAGCGACTTGCATTATTATAATTTGATTGTTACATGTTTGGTAACTCTAAATTATTGCTAACGTTTTTCTAAAAGACGATAACATGCAAGAAAAATTTAAATTCTGTTAAAGAAATACCTTGTATTTCATGTACTATATATACTAATTATTTATTATATTTCCTCCTCCTTTTTTTTCTTTTGAAACCACCCAATTAGTTCAAATCTTCGCTACTAACCTTCTATTTGATGATTTATTTACAAGTATTCACACAAAAATGCTGTAACACATCCTACCCAATGACTTAGATAGGAACCGGATAATGGATTATGAATGAAGGCATTATAATTTGCCATCACTGAAGCTAAAGCTGAAACCAGAAAATTTCTAATAATTTAGTATAAAAAAAAATCATTAATTATACTATATTATTATAAAATAACTTTACTTCTTTTTATACCACTATATACTTCTAATATTAATTCCATTATACTACTTTTTGTTCTATTTTAAATAAAATAAAACTATCTAATATATATAGATTAATATTAAATAATATCTATTAAATATATTATTAAAGTTAAATTTAAATAATTGTATTTATTAAATAACTTTATTTATACTTTAGTATCAGACTTTACTTTATTAATAAAATATTGGATTAATCTTCTGAAATCAATACTAAATATTTTTTTATTCATTCTAATATATATAATTTATTATAATCAAATTCCTTAGCTAATTAATTCTAATATAATATCTTGAATTAATGTAATTTTAAAATTTAAAAATTTGAAGCAAATCAAATTAAGTTGTAAATTAAATATGTTAAATCAGATTTAAGTTTAAAAATAAATCTTAATACTAGTAATTAAAGTTAAGATTAGAAGAATGTAATTTAAAAAAATTCTACTCAAGTATATTACTATATAGGAGTGTTTCGAATAAAATTATATGATATACAACATCTTATGACTTGATTTTACTAGAAATTGTTATGATTCTACTAATTTTTGTTTTACTCTATTATTATAGTATAAATTATTATAAATAAGATAATTCTTTATTAATGTATAAATAAATATATAACAATTTCAAAAAAATGAAATTATAATAATTTAAAAATCATTGTTAATTTTAATATTAAAATAAACTAAAATATAATAAAAAAATCAAAGTTAATGTTATATAAAAATCATTTAAAGATCTTCTTAATAAAGATCACAAAAATTTGGTTGACATCGTTAACATTATTTATTTCATTTACTTCATTTATATAGTATCTTTAATTTATTTATTATATTTATTTAATTAAGTTAACATTGTTAACGAATATATATATTTTATTTTATATAAATATAGCTGAGAATTCTTTAGTTAAAAAGAGATAAGTTCAGCATAATTTAGATAAGTTAAGTTAAATTATTAGATAGTTTAGTTTGATTTATTAAAACATTTATACAGTATAGAGCGCTGATATTGAGGCAGTATTCATTTGTTATCATATAGGAGAAGGTCAGTAAAAAAGAAGGAAATCCAAAATTTTTGTTAATGTTTATTATTAAGCTAAATTTGTACACATGATTGAGATCAGCCAAGTAGTCCAATAATATAAATTTTGACCAAAATTTGCATTTTTTCTTTTCTATTGACTATCTCTCACATATCAAATAAATGATTGATACCTACACTTTATTCTATCTCAACTATAAATTAAACCTTTAGCTTATCATCTATATTATCTATTCGCTTATAATATTTAAGCAATATTAAAGAACTGATTGTAACATTAATATAAATTTTTCTTTTTATATATTTTTCTATTTAGAATTTTATAGAGATGTTAAATAGTCCCAAATGATTATAAACAAATATTGAAATTACAAGTTATGAAAAAGTCTAATCGCTTATCTATAATAAGTAATTCTTGATAAAAAATTGTAATAATAAATTTTATAAATAACTTTTAAAAGAAATATGAACTTTAAAATCAACAATTTATGGAACTATCAAGGTGAGACCTAGTTCTTAAAACTAGATCCTAAGTTTCAAAAATTAAAATTCTGGGTTTTCAAGTAAGTTTAATATTTATTTTAATAAATATTTAATTAATAAATTATTATTAGAAAATAAAATATAACGCCAATTAAATACAAATATTCTATAGAACTGACAAATTTATTGGGACTTTTAGGATTGTTTAGGATTGCTTAATATTCTTAGAATTTTATTTAATACTTTATATATTAAATATATAATATTATTATAATATTATAATAATATTTTATATATTGTTATATTGGCATAATTTTAAAATAATTTTAATATAATTTTAATATTTTAGTAATTTATTTAACAAAATTGATATTTCTATAAAAAGAAAAATGTTAAAATGTTTTTTAATTAAAAATATAAATGTTTTTTATTATCTTTAATGTAAGAATCTTTGTTTGAAAAAGATAATTTTTCTACAAAAAGAAAAAAAACATTAGAAATATTTCTTAATATTAACTATAAAAAAAATATATTTGTTAACATATTATTTTTCTATTTATTTAAATAATATTTATTTTTATTATATAATAATAATATAAATCTAATCTTTTTAATTAATTATAAAATATTTTAATTAAGATTAAAACAAAATTTTAAAATATATAATTTTATTTTTATTTTTATATTTTTTAAAAATTTTCTTATTGATTACTCAAGTTTTATTTAATTATACAAAAATACAATTTTAATAACAATTAATTTAACTATTAATTATATTTAATAAAATTAAAATATTAATATTTAAACAATATTTTTATTAATTCTAATTTTAATTTGTTTATTATTTTTAAATTTTAAATTTATATTTGTTAGATTTGATAATAATATTAAAAATCTGTTATTATTATCATTAAAATTTATATTATTTTAATATTTTATTAATTAAATTATTAAAAAATATTATTATTTAATATAAGAATATTATTTTTATTAGTTATAAAATAATATATTAGTTTTTATAATAAAATAATAAAAAATATAAAAACAAATTAAATAATTTTAATAAGATTTTTTAAAAATTATAAAAATTAATAATATATAAAGAATAAATAATATTTAAATTTTATTTATATTAATAAAGAAATGCATGTAAAATTATAATATAAAAATAATAATATAAAGAAATAATTTATATATACAGTAAAACTTCTCTAAATGTATCCTTCCTAAATATATGCATTATATTTTTTTATAAAAGCATACTTTACACAACTTCAGATATATATAGATCATATAAAATTTCTTTCTTTAAATGCATATCTTCTTTAAATACATATTTTTTTAAAAAAATTTTACTATACAGTCAAACTTTGATATAGCAAACCCTTGATATAGCGAATTTTTAAATCAAATATATTAAAATTACCTTTACTATAGTGAACTAGCCAATTAAATTCTTTAAAAAATTCGTTATAAGCTTATAACGAAGTTAATATCCAGATCCTAGAATTCATTATATCAAGAGTTCACTGTAATTCCAAAAGGATAGATGTGGTCTTATTGTATATATATTTTTTTATAGAAATTTATATATAATAATTTTTTTTTAAAAATACAGTAAAGCATTTATTTATTTATAAATATTTTCATAATATAAAATAAAAAATCCCAAAATGGATACATAAAGTAGAAAATAAAGTAAATGCTGTCTAGCCTTCATCAAAAGTAAAATCTTCTCTAACTAAATAAACTGGTTATCTCATCGCATTTAATTCTAAAAGAAAATTAATACACAACAAAAATAGAAACGAGTTTGAAATAAATAGTTTTCATTGCGTTAAAAAAGGTATAGATCTGCTATGAACAAGAGATTTATAAGATAACTCAAAGTAATCTAAATAAAAGTGGTAGTTAAGAGTAATAGTAAAATGCGTAAAGTAGAAAGAGTATTACAAGAATTATTATGATATTTTTAGCTATAGTAATACCAAACGATAATTCTTTAGTAATAGTAAAAGCATATTAGATTTTTCAAATAAGTTCAAAGGATTGTTCAAATATAAAATTATAGAAGGATAACAATTTTTTCTGTTATTGATAAGTTAGCAAAATCATTAATAGTATAATAGAATTTGAAAGGAATAATTTCTTTAATAAAATCAACAAAAGTAGAAAAATTGTTTAAGGAAAATATAAACCAGTATACATATGGGAGGTAATCAGTAGAAAAGGGGCATATGGTAGCTTTGCAATAGAAAGGGAAAAAACTCTAAAAAATTAAAATTTTACTTTCTAAGCTAATTATGATTTTTTTTTGTAAAATAAGTCCAGATTTAACATTAACTCAAAAAAAAATTTTTTTAGAATTTCCTTCCTTTCTATTGCAAA